ATATGTCTATATTTGCCTATAATCGATCACATCCCAAGAATCTGTCTCATTATTGTTAATTCCTATTGTTTCTTGACTGCTTTTAGTTGTTAACTAAAACCAAAAACCCCCCATCTGACATTCGTGTCACCCCTTTACTTGATTATGTTTTTAATCAATAATTTCTATTCCTAATGTGCTTGACCACATTCATACTTCCTAATTGAATTTGAAACACATATCGCTCCCTGTGAGATTCGACCCCAACTCATTTAGTTGGGTTTTATATTGATTTACGATCGTTGAACACCTAGAATTGGATGAGGTGTGCTTGAAATGTCAAATCAGTCTCTTAATAATTTGTATATAATCGATGGAACTTTAATATAAATACTCCACCCGTTTCAATTTGTTTGACATATTTTAAATTTTTTTTTAGTCAATTTTAAAAAATGAATTTTTCCTTTTTTTAGGGATTCTTTAATTTCAAATTTTCAGATGACATGTTTAAAGCTATATCATTAAATGACATTTCAAAATTTCTTTTACTTTCTTAAACTATGTATCAAGCTAAAATAGGTCAATCAAACTAAAAGAAAGAAAGTAAAATATTTGGACCAAAACTACCAGCTTTGATCAAATTCGTAATTGAAGAAAGTAAAATATTTGGACCAAAACTACTAACTTTGATCAAATTCGTAATTGAAGCGTTAACTGTGCATGCCCTAGGTTCGAATCTACTTTGTTAAAAGAAAAAGGTTGCATGGAAGAATCAAAATTCAAACCTATGACACATCTTAGAAAAATAAGGATCAACTAAAACCAACACATAAAAGAACTTTCCATGACCAAAAATAATTAAATGTACAACCTTTCTAACATATACAATGCACCGATTCCTCCTATTGTAACTTTTGGGAGTGCACTGCATCTTATTCTTACTCTATCTACTGAACCTCCTATTACCTATCGTCATATTCAAGTCCCGTGGATCATCAATTCTGGAATTCAAATTTTTAATATATATTGTCATAATGATTTGTCTATGAGTTCACTTCTTTAAATATTTTTTTAAAAAAAGTTATATTTTTATGTCAATTCAAACAATATCACGTTAAGTAGGACAAAGTGAATACTACTCAACACCGTTTATATTAAAAAAGAATCTTTGTTATGCCGCCTCTGTTATATAGGGGAGCTAGTTTAATAGGTCAAATGAGTTGCACTTAGAGATTGTAGATAACGTGGTCCCTCTTGAGTATTATCATTATTATCCACCAACATGGGTTTTGGTGCACTAGTAGGAGCACTTTACCCTTAACTATAGTTATTGGATTCGAACTTGAATATGAAGAAAATTTTGTTGGAAGCGTCATATCCGAATGAGCCCTGCAATGTGCGATTCAGATTAAATTTGAGCTCTAATGTGAACGCCGAACACAAAGTGGAAAAAGAAAATCATTATTAGCCAGCTCATTCAGTGTTAATACATACAAATCCAAGTCAAATACAAGTTCAGTAGTACTTACTGCACCTTCTCTGCTTCGACGTGGCTGCATTCACTGCACTTTGAATGTAACCCCCTCTCTCTTTTATTTCTCTTAGCTTAAAGCATTTAAAACATTACAAACTAATGGCCCATCCCCTTTAATATAATGACTCACTATTGTTTTGGTTTCTTCATTGCCAACCAAATGCAAACTGACAATTTACCCCTGCTTCTACCTTTCTTCCATTTTTCAATCTTTGGTTTTCCTGACCCCACATTTTAACTTTTTATATAATCCATTACAAATTGATTTTGGTTACCATGTGAATTTTCTGTAGTCATTGCATTCTGTTCATGTCTATCATCATATACCCGCATAATGTTGCGTTCTGATTAGTTTACACGTATCTTGATTAATTTAATGAGAGATCTATCATTTACCACAAAAGCAATTGATTTTACGTAACTCTGTCCATAAAAGCTATAACAAATACAAAGGAATCACCTAGTAATATTTTGGTTAAAACCTAGAAACTAATCACTTCCTAATACTTCATTCTTCTAGCTGACTAAATAGCTTAACTTAACCTTCTAACTGCTTTTAAAATGTACAACTCAACTAATTCTAACACTCTCCTCACGTTGGGAATGGAAAAAAGTTTTTCATTAGGAACTATTAATACCATGTTGCTGGTTAAAAACTGTCATTTCTATTGGAGAGAGGATTCAAAACACCTCTGAACTTGATGCAGATTATTAGTTTTATCTCTGAATTATTTACAGTCTTAATTAAAAACACCCCTCTACTTGACTAACTAATCTTAGATATACCCCTGATACACCTTGATCTGTCACATCATGACATAACAAGTGGTCTCAAACTCTTGTAGGAACATGAGGTTTTTATTATTAAAAAAAACGAGAGAAGTGTTGAAAACACTCCTAAACTCGGTGAGAATTTAGATGTGTATTTCACTCATGTTACAAGATTGGGGTGTATTTAAGTTCAATTAATCAAGTAAAGAAGTGTTTTTAAGGCGGTCAATAGTTCAAAAATAAAACTAATAATTTACGCTTAATTTTTAAATTCATGTATTTTGTCGAGATCTAACTAGACAATAATTTGACTGAGCAAATTCCAAGAAAATGTGACTGATTTTCTACATATTATGCAATTATTTCCTTGTCCCATGAAGCTCTAGTATATACTACACACTGGATGGGCGTTTTAAAAAATAAAAAATAAAAAATGGGAGCACCATAGGCCAAAAAGAAGGAATTTAGGTGTGGAATGCACGAAACACAAAATATAACGATATTGTCCATCTGATAATAAAACTCGAAGAGGGGTATCAAAAGGACAAGAAAATGAAAGCGTCCAACAAATGGGACTATGATTAATTTAATATATTATGAATTGACAAATAGGCTTCCAGATTCTATCAAAGATTTATTCGTCAGACTATTATATGTCACGCCAAAATAGAATAGTAAAAAAGGTTATTATATGAAACCCAAACATATAGTCAAAAGACGTAGCCTTGAATATTATTTGAACCAAAAATGAAAAAGACCCTCTCCCCGCTCCCCCTGACAATATAAATACAAACATATACAGTTGTTTCGACCAGAGGTACGTAGAGAGGAGGGGTCCCTTTACGAATTTATTGGACGAATAAGGAGTAGCTAACACTTAAGGGGTCGTTCGTTTTGATAAAGTGTATTAGAAAAAATAATACGTATCTTATTTTATACATTGGATTCATCTGAATAAAGTATCAAATTATAATTTAATTATTTTACTAGTACAATGATTTTAGTATTAAGAACCTTTAGAGAAAAAAACAATTAAATTTTGAATAGGTCTGATATAGTAAAAAAAAAGTGTTTACAATATGAGTGTATTTTAATATGTTATCAATAAGTTACTTCATTTTTTCAAGTTATTGCCCCGTCATGGGTTGTTTCATGGAATTTTCGGGTTAAAGCTAAACCATATTTTTATTTATAAGAGGGCAAGCTTAGCTTATTTTATAATATTCGTATGCTAATGAGGGAAAAGAAACTTATCTCTGATTTTTGGATCAATCAAATAAGATAAAGAATGATAGAGGTTGGTCAGGATGAGATAAATAAGGATATTTTATGAGATTATTTTATTTCATCCTCTATATGAGATAGTAATCTCATTATTTTAGTATAACTAATGAAATAAAATAATCTTGAGATTAGCTGATTTCTCAAATTAAATATGGATAAAATTAATATCAAATTTTTTTTTGGAATTATTATCTTAATCTCACATATGATCCTGAAATCATTATCTTAATCTCAAGTACATATTGGATGGCGAATAGTGTTAGCTCGGAACTACCTACTAGATGAAATAAAGTAGTGGTACTAAGTTGAATGGAATAAGGTGAAATATTCAGAAATGAATTTGAGATTAAATTTATACTCTATTTGATTGAAGATATAAGTTTAACCTTAGGATATCTCACATTGCCTATGTACTAATCGAGTATTTTGAAAAACTAAGTCGAGATTTAAATGTTGAATTACAAGAAAAATATATGAAAAGTACATGGTATAGATGATGATATCAGAATTGTAGAGGGAAATAAATTAACGATGGAAAGTAATTAATCATAATTTATGAACTTATACAACCTCAACTAACTGAAAGAAAAATGCATAAAATTTGAACCTTTTAACTTTTGGGTCGAAGGCAATGATTTTAGTGGTCGTGCCTTTAAGCCTCCCATCAGTCGAAATCTCAAGTTTGCCGCTTCTAACTTATGATTGTTTTTTACCTCTCCGTAGAAGTATTCACTTTGTTGATTTCTTAATAATTTAAATTCATAATTTTAAAGTTGATTTTACCTCTTCATAAAAGCGCTCACTTTATTGATTTCTTAGTAATTTGAGTTCATAATCTTAAAATTGAAAATAAAATGCTTACCAAACAACTTTCTCTTATCCTCTAGTACCTTTTATAATCTCTAAAACATAATTTTTAATTATTTTATCTATTCTATTCTGAAAAAATACTTTTCATTTTATATTTTCATTATAAATAACATAATAGCCATTTTATCATAAAGTGTTCATTAAGACTTTTTTACCAAACAAATAGGGAGCCCTTTATTCTCAACATGAATCCGAATTTAATCAGACTTTAATGCGAGTATTGAATATCAAATACCAGATGAAAAATAAAAAAACGAGTTCAAAACCTAAGTTGACATGATATTAGAGCAAGTCCAATTGATTTTATCTCCGAACCGATTGAATATCACCGTCCAAGACCCACATAAAAGGGGCAGAGAAATTGCTCCAATGAAAAAGTCCCACATCAGTGTGGATCGAGATCTTTGGACTTGTTATAAACCTTCGTGTGAGCTAGTTTTGGGTGTGAGATATTTACTAGGATAAAAAAAAAAAACTAATTTAACATTTAGTTGGAAATGCAGTCAGCAGAAGTACCTTATGTAGGTGTAGAAGAGCACTCACTCTCGATGTCATGGTTTAGACATTATGTACAACCAAAACTCAGCGGACCACAAAGGTTTTGGGACTCCTATGAGTCCTCGAATCTCCTTCTCTAATGATTTTGTCGATTCATCTCAAATAATGAGGAACTATAGGGATGCCCCTGTTTCCTCTGACTTTGAATTCAATGTCACTAATTATTCCATGATCACTGCTGACCAACTTTTTTCCAAAGGTAGATTGTTGCCCTTCAAAGAAACTTCATCTCAAAAAACTACTCTAAGAGATGAACTTCTTCATGAAGATAAAGATGATGATGTGTTTTCCTCTAGGCCCCCTAAAAGTTCTACTAGGTGGAAAGGACTTTTAGGCCTTAAGAAATCTCACAAAAAAGTTGATAACAACAATCAAGGCTCCTTAGGAAAGAGGTCAAACGTAGCTCATCAAGATATGGTTCATCGAACCAACAATTCACAGGTACCTACTATTCATTCCAAATTAGGAGAAATACTACTCACTTTTTTCTTTCTTTTTTTTTGTTAATATACATCATCCTATGTTTGATGTTCATTTCATTCCAAATTATTTTCCTATGGTACTCATTGTTTATTTGCAGGAACCATATAATGGGGCTGGTGGAGGATCTAGTAGTAGAGATGTGGAGTTTCGTTTTAATTAACGTTAGTATCGAGTGGCAGTATTAGATACTTGCTTCTAATTTTAGTTATTAATGTGTTTAGTGTACAAGTAATTGAGAAGTTTTTTGCTGTATTTTGTCATGAGAGATTGTTTATGTTTTTTCAATAGAGATAGTATTCCGTTCAACATCTGAGAGCTTCAGCATTGTATAGGGCCCTGGCCCCCATTATATATATATTGTCCTTCCCTTCGACGCCACAATTTTTGATGCTTTCTCTTACTCAAAGTTGTCTTCACACAACTCTATACATTTTTATTTGTTCAACTTGAACTTTGCACCTCATTTAGAAAAGAGAGAAGTATAGAAAATACTTTTAAACTTAGTGTAAATTATTAGTCATAAAAATGGTTTCGTTTTCAAATTATTGACAAACTTAAAAAAATCTTTTATTTGAGTAACTGATCAACTTAAATACACTTACGATCATGTAAAATGAGTGAAATGCATCCTTAACTTTTCGCAAAGTTTAGGGATATTTTTAACATTTTTCTCAGTTTTTTATTAAGAATTTCATACTCCTACAAGAATAATATCTGGTCAGAGGAGGGTTGTTCTTGTAAAGAGGTCAAATTGTCCATTTAAGTAGTAGTATAATTTCAAATTTAAGCGTGGAGACATTAACTGATAAAGTTTGTGAAAAGCTTAGGTGAAGAATGAATTGAATATCTTAGTTACTATTCATTTATTTATGAGTAGATAGAGATAAGAGAGTAGTTAGTGCATTGGGGAACCAAAAACATAAACTCCGTTGGTAGATTGAATTGTACACTGACAGACACACATTTATTAATTGGGAGAAGCAAATTCATAACGACCACGAAAGCGAACCAAATTTATTGCACTACTTTTAATGCAAAAAAGGAACTAGCTACGAAACTGATACTTTGGATCAAAGCATCTCTTCATCTCAAATTCTCCAACATTCCTCTCCCCCATCCCTCTCAACAAACAAGGGTTAAGTTTGTTTGGATCAAAATAATTAGGTATCATGTGGAAACTAATAAAGTAAATCTCAAAAGAGTATAAGTAAGAAGTCACATGAGAAATATATTAAAAGACACAAATATTTAATGTGGTTTGGTCAATCGATCTATGTCCACAAGAGGAGATGAATAATTTATTTACTATATATAAAAGAGAGTACACATTATCGAGAGAAATAATCTCACACAATTCACTCGAAATAAAAAGAGGTTTACACAATTGTTAGTCTCACAAATTCTTTACTTGCACAAAACTCTCAAAGTCTATAGGACTACATTGTGAATGCTACCAAGTTAGAAGGAATAAATCTCTATTTATAAAGTCATAAACATTTTCTTACAAGATACTCCCTCCGTCCCATTTTATATGTCACATTTTTACTTTGCACTTGCATTAAGAAATGATGTAACTTTACTCTTCTACCCTTATTTAATGTTTTCTTAAGTCAACTTTATTAATAAAGGATTCGGCTCCCCTCCATTACCCCTTCCCTCCATTTCATCAAGTGCATGTCTAGATGAGAGACATGTGTCTTATTTAAAGTTTAAATGTTAAGATTATATTATATTAACTAATATCACAACCATAGTTAAATCAACTAATTTTAGAAAACTACTCTCCAAATTTGGTAAGAACTACACTATATTCCATACAAAATTTGATATTTATTAATATCATCAATTTCATCTTATATTTTTATATTTAAAATTAAAATTGTAGAACATGAAACATTTATATTTAATGTGATAAATAATAATCTTCAAAAATATTTGCATTAAACACTTTTAAAAAAAAAAAGATAAAAGAATATTTTTTTAAAAAACATATATTTTTCCCCTTCAAACACAATAGTCACATTTTCTCCTTAGAATAATTTTGGTATTTCACGTTTATTTCTAAAAATCTTTCTGTCTATTTTTTTTAAAAAAAATTTCATGTTCTTTTATTTTATGATTTTTTTTCAATATTGATAATTCTTCACTTTTTTTTTTCTCAACATAGTATAATATTTCAAGAACAAAGCTTACTAGTTTAGAAAATTGTTTAGTTGATTCTCACCTTAAATATCATTCAATTTAATATTTAAATGTAAAATATAAGATGAAATCAATGATATTAATAAATATCAAATTTTGAATGGAATATATAGTAATTCTTATCAAATTTGAGAGTAGTTTTCTAAAATTAGTTGACTTAACTATGGTTATGACTTATGATATTTGCTAATATAATATAATTTTAACCTTTAAACTTTGAATAAGACGCATGTCTCTCATCTAGACATGCACTTGACAAAATGGAAGGAATGGGTAATGGAGGGGAGCCAGATCCATTAATAAATGACAAGATTAATTAACTATTCTAGCAAGGGTATAGTAGGCAAAATATGGTAATTTATGCATAAATTTTATAAAATGACAAATATTGTGGTCCAGCTGTTTATAGAAAGGGATGACATATAAAATGAGATGAACCGAGTAAAAGATTAGCCAAATATGGAAACTTTGTGATTTCCATTTAAGAAAAGAATAATCTAATTATGATAAGAAATTAGGGCAAATACCCAACAAAGCTAGCGTTTGAACATAAATTTTGAAATTTTTTTCTCTAAGTATTTATTTGATCAGGAACAAATTTGATATGATTTCGAAAAATGGATTTTCAATGAGTCAATTTTACAGAGAAATTTCTCTTTCACTCACAAATTTTTATTTTTATTTTTAAAAAAAACTAAAGTTATAAAATGAGTGCCCAAATACAATTTCCAAAATTCACAATTTTAATATTCAACTTTAAAATCTATAGTCAAACTGGACCTAATAAATGTTCATAATTTTAATGGTTTCTTGTACTCACTAGATTTCCACAACTATATTGCCTCGTGTTCAAAACTACATAACTAAAGTATTAGTAGTTGTAAAATTTAAATTTCTATAACATAATAAATAGAGTTCATTTAATAAATATTTATTTTAAATAAATATGTGAAGTCGTAAAATTAAAATGAAAAGAGGGAGTTAAGTGTTTACCAATCTGAACTATTTTGGACAAAAGTGAAATTAATGGTATTTAATATTAGAGTAACACCTATATCCATGGCGTGGAGCGGCTGGTCAAACCCCTCCCACTGCTTTTGTCTTTGTACATTGACTCCTTTTATTAGGTGGTTAACTGCATATCCTCTTGCAATAAACAAATTTACTTTAATTTCATCACACTAGTATTTTATGTTTCTCCATTGCCATTGTCTATTCTTTTCATTTTCATCACGGACCATATATATTTTAGTCATCTTGTTTGAACATCTCAAAATCCAACCTGATTCATCTGTCCCTCTATTTTGTTAAGTATATCTTTTAATTGTGGTATTCGGGACAACACATGTATCGGATAACTCTATCCATCCAGATTTAGAAAGATGGAACGAAATCAACTCTAAGCCACACTCTTGGATGCTAATTCATTAGATTGTACGGACGGAGGGAGAGTGTTGCTACAAGTTTGATTGTATTCAATTGTTTTGGTTAACTTAATATTTGTCTTCAATTTTTATTTTATTTTTTGTATATTTACAAATTATCAATTTGGAACTCAATAACTTAAAATGATAAGAATTCAGAACCTATAAGCTTCAAATCGTGACTCCACATTTTTTTTTTTAATTCTAAAATAAAAAATTGGGCTTCGCAAGCCAAACAAACACATGTGTGTGGAATTGATTTTAAAGCAACTAAATTTGTAATTTTTGACTATATCTTAAAGGAGTTTCCTAAAATTGGCTATACGTGTGCACATACCATGTGTACAAGAGAATTGGATTTCCCAATACAAAAGGTGATAAGTTGTGCTCAAGTTTGAGCCCATTAAGGCAAAATACGCCTAGCCCAATTTCATCTTCATGGACAATGGTGAAATGTTTTCCTTACAAAAACAACATATTCAGAAGTAGCCTCAATGCTATTTGACAAATACCATATATCACATAAGTAGACGTTTGGATTCGTGTTAAATCGTGTGAGATTTATCGTGAAAAATATGTGTGTCTGCTTATTAAACTTTAGAGCAGTAGTTTAAGTGTCGAATCGTGCATCCAGACACTAAGTAGACGTTTGGCCATTCGATACCATATCACAATATGGTATCGTGAGATGAAATCAACGTTTGGACATGTGATTTTACACTGATTCCATCTCATGATTCCATATCATGAGATGTGATTCCATATTCTCCAAAAACATGTTCCATATCATGATTTGAGGTATTTTTAATACAAAAATTGACCCACAAGTTTATATTTTGTTAAAACAATCCCACATTTATATCTACTAACTATTTATTTCATATGTAAATAAAATTTATAATCATATCATTATTTTTTAAAATTTATTATTCTCACCGACATAAAATTTATTATTCTCACCAACATATAGTCACTTTAACTCATACCAACCGATTGTTAAAGTGATGAAATTTTTATGGTCTATGAGCATGAAAATATAGTTGCGGATGATATTGACCAACAAATGGCTCAAAGTAACAATGTTGGTTCGTCTTCTCGGTCACATGATCGAGAAATGCAATTTCAACATAAAAAAATTATTTGTATTATGTGGGAGGATTATATTAAAGACTAGTACACTATAATTTATGTTCAATTTTTTTTTTAATTAAATTAAAGTTAGATGAAACAATTACTTAAGTGGAGAACAAATAACTTTGTAATAATTTTTATAATTTTTTATTTATTTGATAAGATTGAATAAACAATTGAGACTATTTTAATAGTTTTACAACTTATGAGATTTTTATGTTTATAAGAAAATATACAACACAAAAATTTCATATAACATGTCCAAATAAAACTTTAATTTCACCTCATGATATCATATCATGATTCCGTATCATGATACCATATCGAATGGTCAAAGGGACCCTAACTATTTGCTTTTTAATTGGTATCACGACTGAGTCAGCTTCTTCAAAAACTCCATGAAAATTTTCCTCTCTATATATTAGGAATTCAGTAGCTGTTCGAGGTCTGTTTTGCAAATATAGATGAAAGTATGGAGCTTCTACAAGAATTTTTCGTCTGTGCCAGCATTCACCGGAACACCATTCTTGACATTCGAAATAAACAATTTGCTTCAACTCTGCAGCAATTCCAAATCAGTAGACCAAGGCAAACAAACCCATCAACAAATCATCGTACATGGTCAAAGCCACAATCCATTCATCATCACCAAATTGATACAAGTATATACAGAACGCGACGATATTAAATCTGCCCAGAACCTGTTTGTCAAATTGTCTCAAAGAAATGTGTATGCCTGGACCGCCATGATATCGTATTTTTCACGTAACCGCCTAATTAAAGAATGTGTAAATACTTATAAGGAGATGAAACTGGACAACATTTTACCCGATGGGTATGTGTTTCCTCTAGTACTGAGGGTTTGTGCTAAGTTTTTGAGCTCGGGTATTGGGTTACAAGTGCACAGAGATATAATTGTGTGTGGTGTAGAATGGAATCTCCAAGTTTGTCATTCTTTAATTGATATGTACTCTAAATGTTGTGATATTCATAGTGCTAAACGGGTATTTGATTTGATGCAAGAAAAAGATTTGCTTTCATGGAATTTGATTATTTCGGGATATGTATGTAATGAGTTACTTGATTTGGCTGTTGAGATGTTGAGGCATATGAGTAAGGAAGGTTGTCTGCCAGATACAGTCACTTTGAACACGGTAATGGATGCTTATTGTCGGATGGGTCAATGTGATGAGGCAAGGAAAATATTTGCGCTAATCAAAGAACCAAGTATAATATCGTGGACGACTTTGATATCAGGCTATTCAAGAATTGGAAATCATGGTATTGCATTGAATATTTTTAGGGAAATGATATATAGAAGAGAAGTTTGGCCTGACCTAGATTGTCTCTCTAGTGTACTTGCGTCGTGCCAGCTTATTGGGGATTTAAGGAGTGCCCAGGAGATTCATGCACACGGGATTAAACTAGAATCACCTTTTGCTTTTCACAGATCTTCTGGACCTGCATTACTGACTTTGTATGCTAAATGTGGGAGGATTCAAGATGCAAGACATGTTTTTGAGTTGATGGATAGAACGGACGTTGTTTCTTGGAATTCCATGATTCATGGTTTTGCTGAACTAGGGATTAAAGACTTGGCGGTGGAGTATTTCAAGGAAATGCTGATTATAGGAATCAAGATTAACGACACCACACTTTCAATTGTTTTGCCTGTTTGTGACGTCAAATATGGGAAACAAATTCATGCTTATATATTACGAAGTAGTTTTTGGGATGTCACGCCCATTTGGAATGCACTTATTCACATGTATTCAAAATGTGGGTGCATTGGAAACGCTTTATGTATATTTTCTCATGTGGCTCATAAAGATATAGTGTCATGGAATACAATAATTGGTGGGTTGGGAATGCATGGTTTGGGCCAAGATGCCCTGCATCTCCTGGAAAAAATGAGCCATTCTGGCGTTCAACCAAACGCTTTGACATTCACTTCAGTGCTTTCAGCATGCAGTCATTCAGGACTTGTTGATGAGGGGTTAGATATTTTCCACAGAATGGTGGAGGAATTTGGACTGAACCCCAGAATGGAACACTTTACTTGTGTTGTTGATTTACTAACACGAGCTGGTCGGCTTGAAGATGCCACAGATTTTATAGGAAAAATGTCTGTTCAGCCGAACAAACATATATGGGGTTCTGTACTTGCTGCTGCCTTAGCACACCAAAAAGTGAGCATTGGAGTTCTTGCTTCGGAGAATTTAGTTGAATTGGAGCCTGAAAATACAGGACACTATGTAACACTTTCAAATTTGTATACTAAAGCTGGAAGAATAAGTGATGCCCTTGCCGTGCGAAAACTAATGGAAACCAAGGGGTTGGTAAAGGGTTCTGGTTGTAGCTGGGTAGTGGATGGAAATTGAGAAGAGAAAAAGAGATCTAAATCTTTTACCTTAATCATCACCAGATTCAAAATTTCTAATTTTAGGTTTTAGCATTTTGAGTTAAATTTAAGATTTTGATATCATACTAGTTGAAATTGCTTCAGGTCCTTGATATTTTAAAGGTTCAGGTAAGTTATATATGCTAAAATTTTGCCTATCCTTGGAAAGTGTTTACTATATTTACCATGAACACTTGACTAAGCTTAGCTTGCTGCCTTCTGCATTGTGCATAAATAGTTGCACTATGTCATCTTCTTCTTTACGGAAAAAACGTGAGATTGAACAAAATATCTTCGGTTAATAGTTTGTGGTATATATATATATATAGTTTAAACCCAAGAAAACGTTATATTTTTAGGGAAACTAGTTCTACAATAGATTCTAACTTCCAATCATAAAACACTCACACATCTTCAAAAAAAAAGTGCAATTATGTGGGGCGGGGGTTGAAGTCTTCACAGGAATTCGCCCCATAATCGCTCCGTCCCATTTGCCAGAGTGCAGGATTTTTACTAACAAGGTTTGAAAATAAAAATTAATGTAGTGATTGAAATTTGAACTTGGAACCATAGAATCTATGAATTTTGAACCCACTGAACTAACTTTTAATATTGTGTTCAATAGATTCAAAATCAATAAATAAAATAAATTCCCTTATATATAAAAAGTACTATAATTTTTTGTTGAGAGGGTTCAAGTACCTTGTGCTCCTAGATCCACCCTCGTTTGCATGGAAGTGACATGAAAGTAGAGCTAAGAGTGCACAATCAAGCTAAGATGACATTATTTTACTGAAAATATATTTGTTGTATTCTGAAACCGTGCTGAAAAGTTTTGCAGATGGATTAAGTTTGATCGGCATGTTATATGTAACTATGATTTATGTACTAATCTCTCCATTTCAGTTTAAATATTGTATTTTTCTATTTAGCCTGTTTTAAAAATATAGTATTTCTTCTTATAATAGGTAATTGATCTCTAATTCCAACATTAAACATAACTTGTTAAAAACCACAAAATTCATGTTGGATTGTATTGCCATTTCATCTAAGAAACTTGAAATAATTAGTAAAAAACCAAACTTTTATTAACATAATTATGTCTTCCATGTACAAGCTCGTCACACCTCGGGACAAACTGAAAACTACTCCTTTGAACATTTTTTGTTGTCTAATAAGGTCCTGAACATAAACAATTTACATTAATACATGCATAACTTACATTTATATGTACATACACAAAATATAATGCGTCTTCAAGGCCGGACATCCAATAAAGTTGGAATAATACAGAACATTAGCATGATTCCTGCACAAAGATAATATTTACAATAATAAAATAATAGCTAGTGACCGATCCCCGGACTATGACCATCTACATGTCCAGGAGATGGTGAGGCAGGTGGATACTCATTGTTTTGAACGGTGAATTCTGTCAGCTTTCTACTCTCTCTTTTTGATTTCATAATTGTATGAACATTAGGTTTCATCAAATAATTTTTGTCCTCGAATTTGATGTTTCTCCCCTCAATAGACACAATAATGTTAGAGAAGATCATTGCAAGAACAGAGATAGCAAGGAAAGTCTTTGTTTGAGACATATTGAATGATGAATTAAATGAGAGAAATAGGAGTAATGAAATTGATGGGATGCTCTTAACCTCTTTTTTTATAGAGTATTTATAGAAGAAAAAGAAAAAGAAAAAAAAAGGCAAAACAAGAGTTATTGGATCCTCACTAGTTGGAGATTCTCACATGTATAAGAAAAAAGCTGCACTGACTTTTCCATTTATTTACAAAACGTGAATGCAAAAAGTGGTAAAAGCCAGGGTGGAGCTGGCCCTCGTTTACGGGTTGAACCGAATTCACAACTTTCAATTTAAATTTTATGTATATATATTATTCCCTTTTTCGTTTCAATTTTATGGCATAGTTGAAATTTTGAGAGTCAAATTATTATTTTTTGCTAATTTTTTTTAGGGGAAATTACAGGGATAAGCAAACAATAATTTATTTAATATATATAGAGACGTCGTCCGTCGCTTTTTATTAAAAATAATTATTTATAAATTAAACAATAATCACGCTGTCCGTCGTTTTAATTTATTTTATTTTATTAATTAGTTTTTAAAAAAAGCAACGGACGGCATCTCTTAGTCCGTCTCTTTTTGGTCAAAATATCTAGTCAAACATTTTTAAAAAGCGACGGACAGCGTCTCTTAGTCCGTCGCTTTTTAATTAAAATATTATTTTTTAAATTTTTTTTTAAACAGCGACGGACGGCATCACTTAGTCCGTCGCTTTTTTTTGCGTATTTTTGCTAATTAATTATTTTATATAGATAGTGACGCAATCCGTCGCTTTTTATTTAAAAATAATTATTTATTAATTTTAAAAAAGTCACGCCGTCCGTCGCTTTTTATTAATTTTAATTGTTTAATTATTTTTTAAATTAGCGACAGACAACATCTTTATGTCCGTCGCTTCTTGGTCAAAATATCTGGTCAAATATTTTAAGAAAGCGACGGACAATGTCTCTTAGTTTGTCGCTTTTTGGTCAAAATGTTGGTCAAACATTTTTAAAAAAAAGCGACGGACATAAAGACATTGTCCGTCGCTTTTTAAAAAATATATGCACTAGCAGACGCGATTTTCCCCATTTCTCCATATAAAAAACAAAATTGAGAAATATTTTGATTTAATTTTATTTAAATCGTCTTCCGGAGAATGGTTTTGTGTAAAATAAAACACAAAAAAAATTATAATACCGACTTTCAGATGTCGGTAAAATTAAATAGTATGTAATAAATTAATATTTTCAATTAACTTTAAATAAATCGTGCTCCGAATGACGGTTTTATATAAGTTAAAAAATAATTTAATATAAAATACCGACCTCCCGATGTCAATATTATTTAATTAACATGATTACTTTTTATTTATCTTAAAATTTAATGTGATACCGACCTCATGAGGTCGGTATTTTTTATTATATCTAATTACTTCTAATAAAAGCGACATCCGGAGGTCGGTATGTTTAAAATATTCCTATTAATCATAATTTTGCTATTGTGAATAATATTAAAATTTCATTTTACACCTACGATTAATTGTTCAAAAAGTGTAACAATTTTGTATACTTTTACAAATAAAATATTAGAATTCGTGAAATAAATAAAAAAATATCTATAATCCATATTTAAAGTATGAAACTACATTGATATGAATTAGGAGATAATTATACTTATATTTATAGAGTAATGTACAAATCCTATCAGTCCGTCGTCTAATCATAAACTTAATATCTCATGTCATGATGTAGTAGAGGTGAAGAGCTAACATATAATCCATTCCAGTATGAAATGCGAGATAGTTTTATTATATACGTTCGATCTTGAATGGATGTCAAGTGTAGTGATCACCTCCTAATTATGATGACATGTAAAGGATACTTCATCGGAGTATGAAATACGTTGATTAATTATATATATATTCCTCGAGTAGTTTAACAAATCAAGTCTTATATACTAGTGGTTTAGATATGAAATACATTATCAATTAAAGAAATACCGATGATCAATTCAAGGAGATTTATATATTAAATTTGATATTGATAAACTTTTGTTGATCAATAAAATTAAATTTATATAATTAGAAGGTATATAATTTAAATTTATAAAATTAACTTGATCGATAAATTAAATTTGTTAAATTAAACTTTTGTTGATGTGTAGTTAGATTATATATATATGGCCAAACACATATACAACCCCTCTAACTTGTCCACATTTTTCATTTTGACACTTTATCTTAGCCTTGTTCCATTTTAGCCCTTGAACTCCATTTTTTATGTTCCATTTTAACACGAAATACTAAGTGAATCCTAGATCAAATCCTAGCCGCTCATCTTAACTAATCCAATGACTCAAATTAAATCTACCTAACCTTCCTATTTTTGACCTAAAAAAAGACCAAACCCTCTAATTTTGAAAACTCATTCTTTTCTTCTCTCTCAAGCAGCCCAGCGTCCTCCTCCCGTCGCCCTCCTCCCACCGCCCTCCTCTTCTCATCTCTTCTCTCCTTGCTCCCTCCCGTCTTTTCTCACCGGCGAGACAAATTGCCGCCTCTCTCTCGTCTCTCCAATCAGCGAAAGTTCGCTGCTCTGTCTCTCCCTCAACTGCTCTGGCTAGCAAGCTCCAAGCAATCAACATCAGCAGCCGGCGAGGAGAGCAACAACATCTCCGGCCAACTGACCCCGACCTCGATCCACTGCCCTTCTCCTTTAATTGAAAGTTAAGGTTTCATAATATTATTTTTAATTTCTTTCAATTTGAGTATTGAATTTGTTAATTAGTGTATTGAATTAGTTTTTTTTATTGATTGTTAGTTTGATTGATTGTTAGTTAGTAGGTGAATGATTTAGGGGTTTTTGATGGTTAGTTTGAATTAGGGATTATTTGATTGTTAGTTTGTGTTTGTTGATTGTGAAATGAAAATTTTAATGTTGGGGTTTGTTTGAATTAGGGTATCTTAGGATTTGTTTGAAATTTGGTATTTCTTGAGTTAATTAGTTTGATTTTGGAATAGTAAGATTAGATTGAATTAGGATATTTAAGGAGTTGTTTGAATTTAGGATTTTAGCACTAGTTAGATTTTAAGATTTTAGGACTAGTTTGAATTTGTGATTTCAAGACTAGTTTGAATTTTGAATTTAGGACTAGTTTGAATTATTATTGAAGTTGAACTTAGAATTTGAACATGAACTTGAACTTGAACTTGAACTTGAACTAAGAATTTAAAGTTAAATTTAGAACTTGAACTTGAAATTAGAACTTGAACTTGAACTTAGAATTTGAACTTGAAATTAGAACTTGAACTTGAACTTAGAATTAAAACTTGAACTTGAAATTAGAACTTGAACTTGAAATTAGGATTTGAACTTGAACTTAGAACTTGAACTTGAAATTAGGATTTGAACTTGAACTTAGAACTTGAACTTGAAATTAGAACTTGAACTTGAACTTGAAATTAGAAATTGAACTTGAACTTAGAACTTGAAATTAGAACTTGAACTTAGAATTAGAACTTGAACTTAGAATTAGAACTTGAACTTGAAATTAGAAATTGAACTTGAACTTAGAACTTGAAATTAGAACCTGAACTTAGAACCTGAACATGAAATTAGAATTTGAACTTGAACTTAGAACTTGAACTTAGAATTAGAACTTGAACTTGAAATTAGAAATTGAACTTGAACTTAGAACTTGAAATTAGAACTTGAACTTAGAATTAGAACTTGAACTTGAAATTAGAAATTGAACTTGAACTTAGAACTTGAAATTAGAACTTGAACTTGAACTTAGAACTTGAACTTGAAATTAAAAATTGAACTTGAACTTGAAATTAAAAATTGAACTTGAACTTAGAACTTGAAATTAGAACTTGAACTTAGAACTTGAACTTGAAATTAGAATTTGAACTTGAACTTAGTACTTGAAATTAGAACTTGAACTTAGAATTAGAACTTGAACTTGAAATTAGAAATTGAACTTGAACTTGAAATTAGAAATTGAACTTGAACTTAGAACTTGAAATTAGAATTTGCACTTGAACTTAGAATTAGAACTTGAACTTGAAATTAGAAATTGAACTTGAACTTAGAACTTGAAATTAGAACTTGAACTTAGAATTAGAACTTGAACTTGAAATTAGAACTTGAACTTGAATTTAGAATTAAAACTTGAACTTGAAATTAGAACTTGAACTTAGAACTTGAACTTGAAATTAGAATTTGAACTTGAACTTAGAAATTGAACTTAGAATTCGAACTTGAACTTTGAACTTGAACTTGAAATTAAAACTTGAACTTGAACTTGAACTTAGAATTAGAACTTGAACTTGTAATTAGAAATTGAACTTGAACTTAGAACTTGAAATTAGAACTTGAACTTAGAATTAGAACTTGAACTTGAAATTAGAAATTGAACTTGAACTTAGAACTTGAAATTAGAACTTGAACTTAGAACTTGAACTTGAAATTAGTATTTGAACTTGAACTTAGAACTTGAACTTAGAATTTGAACTTGAACTTAGAACTTGAAATTAGAACTTGAAATTAGAACTTGAACTTGAACTTAGAATTAGAACTTGAACTTGAAATTAGAAATTGAACTTGAACTTAGAATTAGAACTTGAACTTGAAATTAGAAATTGAACTTTAACTTGAACTTAGAACTTGAACTTAGAATTAGAACTTGAACTTGAAATTAGAAATTGAACTTGAACTTGAACTTAGAACTTGAAATTAGAACTTGAACTTAGAATTAGAACTTGAACTTGAAATTAGAAATTGAA